CACTGAGCCATCTCCCCGGCCCCATTATTTTTTAAATGTTTATTTTTATTCATCATTTTATTTACTGATTTTATTATGAGTATGGTCTTAAATGAGATCCATCTACCTGTAAAAGTCTCGAGTTTATCCTTCGTTATGGCTGAGTAGTGTCCTGTGGTATATGGAAGACCCCAGTTTTCTATCCATCCATGGCTGATGGGCATTTGGTTTTCTTTAGAGAGTAAGCTGTTAGAGATTGTGCTGCTCTCGGCACAGGCGCACATACATTGCTGTGGCGCGATGTTTCAGTTCTTCTGTGAACACGCCCAGAAGGGGAGTATCGGGACACCTAGGACCTCTATACCTAGCCGCTTAAGGAATCTCCGCTCTCATTCCTTGGTGGTTGCACCAGTCTACACTCCCACCCACAGTGAAAGAAGGGTCTCCTTCTTTCCCACAGCTCTTCCAGAATTCGTTATCAATTGATTGTTTTTGGTGCTAGCCATTCTTTCTTGGATAAGATGTATCTTAGTGTTGTTTTCTTTTGCATCTCATGAAAGACCAAAGATGTTAAACATTTTTCAGGTAGTTTTTGTCATTTGCATTTCTTTATATGAGAGATGTATATTCATCTCAGATGCCCATTTTGGGGATGAGTCTTTGAACTTTGGGAGTGCTGATATTTTAAATTTTTATATGTTCTAGATATAAGTCCTTTGAAAGACAACTGGCTAAAATTTATTCCCACTCTGTGGGTTTTCTTTTCACTTTGTTGGTGAACTTTTATGTTGTGCTTTTTAATAAGACAAGATCTCAGTTGTTGATTCTTTGAAGTATTTCCCGTGCAGGTTGGGTTTTGTTCATGTACACTCTGCCTACCCCTATGTCTTTAAGATTTCTACCTACTTTCTCCTTTAGTGGATTCAGTTCAGTGTTTGTTTTAATACTCAATATTTAGATCTTTGATCTATTTTGACTTCAGTTTTGTGCATGGTGATAGAAATGAATCTAGTTTTAGGCTTTGGCATGCAAAAAGCCAGTTTTTTCAGAACCATTTATTAAAGAGGCCATCTTTCCTCCAGTGAATATATTTGGCTCCTTTGTCAAACATACAGTGGCTATGTTCATTTGCAATTGTGTCTTTACCTTCTAATCTGTTCCACTGATCCTCAGGTCTGCCTTTTTTTTTTTTCCAGTACTATGCTGAATTTTATCACAGTAACATAGTATAATTTCAAGTCAAGGATTGTGATGCCTCATGCGTTGCCTTTGTTGCCCAGAATTGCTTTTGATATTCTAGGTCTCTGCTGTTTCCAAATGAATTTTAGGAATGTTTTCTCTAGTTTTGTGAAGCATATGCTAATGCTATTTTGGTTAGAATTGCAAAAATTTGCATGACAGTTTTTGTGAGTATGGCCATTTTCACAATGTTGGTTCTTCCTATCCATGCGAAAAGAATATCTTCTCATTTTTTGAAATCCTTTTCAATCTCTTTTTTTTTAAGAGTACTATAATTTTCAATGTATAGACTTTTTAATTCCTTTGTTAGATTGATTCCTAAGAATTCCACTTTTTTAATGCTATTGTGAAGGGTGCTGTTTCCCTAGTTTTTCTCTCTGTAAGTTTGTTGCTTTTGTACAGGAAAGCTATTGATTTTTGAATGTTGACTTTATATCCAGCTACACTGCTGAATTTGGTTATTAAATCTAGAAGTCTTGGGCTGGGCAGATAGCTCAGCAGTCTAAACACATGACTGGCAAGCACAAGGACCCAGGTTTGATCACTAGTACCCCATGCTGTGCCAGTCTCAGAACCCCGGGCACACTGTCCCAGCCACAGAAAGGGGAAATGGTGGCACACAGCTGTAATTCCAGCACTGCGGAGGCTGAGACAGGAGTATCTCGGCAAATTCAAGCTGCATAGTGAGACCCTGTGCTAATAAATAGATAAATATTTTAAAAAGAATTATTAAAAAATAAATTTAGAAGTCTTTCAGTAGTTTTTGGGGTCTTTCTATGTAGAGTATCGTCTCTTCCACAAATAATGATAATTTAACTTCTTCCTTTCCAGTTCTTATTCTTTTATTCCTTTTTCTTGTGTTGTTGCTTTGGCTAATGTTTCCTGAATTATACTGAGGAGGAGTAGTGGTAGTGGACACCTTGTCTTGGTCTTGATTTTAGAGTGAAAGCTTTCAGTGTTAGACCATTTAGTACAATGTTAGCTGTTAGCTTTTCATAGATGATTTTTATCAGATTGAGAAAAAGACCATCTTTTCCAATTTTCTGTGGGGTTTTTATTTTATTTTATTTTTATTTTAGGGCAGGGTCCACAGAGTATACAGATGTGTGTCATCACGCCCAGTACCAGTTGCAGTCTCAGCACACCCTGTGGGCGGGGCTGGCACCGCATGCCAGGGATTGAACCCCAGCCATTGTGTTCTGCTGAAGCAGGTGCTTTGGTTCACTGAGCTATCTGGCCAGCCCTCTGTAGGGCTTTTAATCACGAATGGATGTTGAACTTTCTTAAATGGTTTTTCTGCATCTATTGAGGTGATCATGTTATTTTTGCCTTTGTTGGTATGGTGTATGACATGTATTGATTTGTATATGCTGAGCCATCTCTGCATCCCTGGGATGAGTCTTACTTGGTCATGTTGTATAATTTTTTTTCTATGATTTGTGGCAGTCTGTTTGTCAGTATCTTATTAAGGATTTTTGCATCTATGTTCATAGGGAGATTGGCCTATAATTTTCTTTTTTGGCTGGTTGTGTTCTTCTCTGTTTATTTTTTTTAGTCAAGGTAATACTTACTTTCAAGAATGATTTTGGAAGTATAGCTTCCCTTTGGATTTTCTTTAAGATGTTCAGGATTAATGACATGAGGTCCTCT